TGACCTGAGTAATTCAAGTCCGATGCAAAAACGCATGATCGCACGGGCCCGCCCGGTGCGTTTCAGTCTGGGTTATCATTATTATCATTGTCATTATTGTTGTCACTGTCATTATTATCATCATTATCATTATTCAGCTCAGGGTTGAAGGGCCCAGGAGAGGTGTATTCTAGCAACATTATTAACAGGTAATTCTCGCGCTGGTTATCTGCCGTGTCATGGTACACTTGTGTTTATTTTTCCAATATTCTTATTTTTTAGCAACTTTTGTTTAGTTTCTGAAATAAAAGATCTACTTCAAGACATTAATATACCTTGCAAATATTTATATGGTGATGCAGCTGGCAGCTTCGATGGCGGCTTAGAAAGCTCTTCGCGCCGTTCTTTTTCCACGGGAATCGACTGAGACTTGTCAGTAGCTGCAGGAGGAACAACAACTGTCTCAGCTGCGGGTGCTGCAACTGTTCCGCTCGCTACTTCTGCATTCGGTTTCGCTGCTTCTAATGTAGCACCTGTATCATGAGCCGGTGCAGTGGGTGATCCAGAAGCAGCTTGGGTTGCTTCTTTGGATTCGGCAGTTGATACGGCCAGTTTTTCCGTTTCATCCGCCAATTTCGGCTCTGACAATGGTGGTATTTCCGAGGACGCCTTGCCTCCGACTGGCTTCTGAACTTCTCCTTTAGATGCAGCTTCTTCGGCTTTCGGTGTTTCAGGTTCAGGTGCACTCTTTGTTGGTGGTGGTGTAGAACCGGGCATCATCGCTGTACTAGCAGCACCGTATAGATCCGCTGCTGCGGTTTCTCCTTCTGGAGCAGCCGGAGGAGTTGGTTGTTCTCTTGTTCCAACAGCTGCCTCTGAGGGTCCTACAGGTGCTGTTACCACTGCACTGCTGCCAGCTTCCGGCTTTACTTCTGAAGGCGTTGTTTGTACAGGTTGTGTTTCTTCTTTTCCAGCACTGGCTGTAGCTTCACTGCTTTCTTTTGTTCCAGCTTCCGCGGTTGATTCACCTCCAGTACTTGGTGCAGCTGCGGTAGCAGAAGTCGGAACTTCCTTAGTTCCGCCGGGTGCTTCTTCAGATTTCGCAGGTTGTGCAGCTTCCTGGGGTGTTGTACCTTCTTCCTTGGATGGCCCAGCTTCAGATGCTGTGACTTCGGGAACCGTCGTTGCAGCCTCTTGACCTACAGTAGCTTTAGATGTAGCCTCAGCAACTTTTCCTGTTTCGGATGTCCCAATGCTTGAGATCCCGGATGGCGGCGGTGTGGTGCCAGGTGGTGCTGCTCCTTTTCCTTCCTCGACTGGTTCGTATCCAGGGAGAGCTGAGGCTGCTGCTCCAGCTTCCTCTTCTTTTGTTTTTCCAGCAACGATGGTCGGTGTCACTGTTCCTTCTTCTGCAGATTTTGGTGTTCCGGCTTCCGGTTTTGCAGTCTCTGCAGCGCTAGGTGTCGGCTGCTCACTTGCTTTTGCTTCCGGTTTCTCCGATACAGTAGTTGACTTAATTCCTTCTTCAGAGGAGCCAGCTGAGGATTTACTGGACTCAGATGCCCCGGTGCTCTCCTCTCGTATAGATTTTTCTTTGCTTACCTCGTCAGCTGCGCTTGCTTCCCCGCTTCCGCTTGCTGGTTCCGGTGCAATGGTACCCGGCACACCAGTTTCTATTTTTTCAGCTTTTGATTCAGGCGTTCCTGGCGCAGGAGCTTGTGATGCTTCCGTAGCCTCAGTTTTCGGTGCTTCGGAGGCGCTTTCCGGCGACACAGCGGCTTCAGGTACTGACTCTTGTTTCGCTGAAGCGGGCGGTGTTTGCGGCACCAGGACTTCCGATTTTGGTGTTGTTACTTCGAGCGGCGGTTTGGTTTGTGGTTTTTCCGGTACTAAAAGAGGGAGAATTAATTAAAAGCAATTGAGAAAATTCGTTTCCCAAATCATTCACCACCGATAGTACTTTTTTGTCCACAAAAAAACCATTAATTATGATAACAATTAAAGATACAAAGGGCGAATGATAATAACCCGAGGTTTAATAACTAAAATTTGAGAAAGCAAAACAGCGTCAGGACCGCTAGCAGCACTGGTTAAAACAGCTGATAAATCTGCCAGTTCTTTAGCTGGAGAACCAAAATGTGGATTACAGCTGACCCAGTTACTACAAGTGATGCAAAAGAAAATTTTTTTAATAATTTCCAAGAAATGTTACTTCTTACAAAAACAAGGAAGAGGGCTTGCATTTGTTCTTTGCCGAATCTTCAAATGCTGAAAGTGTAGTGACTTACGACATCGGAAACATTGCAAATAGATAGGTCTGGTGGTTTTGTAGTAGTAGTCGCGTCTCAACGTTCCGTTACACTTTTCCACGCCATCAAAACGTCGCTCACAAACACCACGTTTGCCGGGAGTCGACGGTGGTGAGAAGATCGCTGCCGTGCACGCATCTCGATAGCACAGATAGGCACAGTGATCCGCTCTTCAAAAGTTTCATTTATCAAAAATCCATAGAAGTTCTTGACCACATAGAAAGATTTACATTCTTATTTTAAAAAAGTACCGCATTGTCGTAGTTTGTGAACTCTTAAGCCCAAAAGTGATAGCGTTGACTAGACTTTTTCTAACATGTGCTTCTGGAAACCAGAGAGTTATACGGCTTAATGGGCCGAAGTATTCACTTTCAGTCAGATATTATAATTAAGTTCTGTGTTCTGTTAAAAGTATTCCGTAAAATATATGGTACAACTATCAGTAAAAAGCTTACCCTGAGGACTCCAAATGGTCACTGCCACGGAAATATGCGAGATCCACGTTTGGGTCGACCTCGAATACGATTATACAAGCTGCAAAATTTGCTAGGTAATACACAAACACGATATCATAATAAAATATATGAAGCAGTTAATTTTCCGGGACAACTAAAAAGTGTCCTCTAACGGCAGAGAAAACTACTGGTCGCTTTTGCTTCTGAATTGTCTTAAAACCTAACCTAAGTGGACTGGTCACTTTATTCTTCTAAACGTTAGGCTGTAAAGCAGTCCAGAAAAAGACACGTTCCTTGCTTTCTTCTGTTTGTGTAGGAATAACTATTAAATAGAAAGTAAAAGAAAGACTAAAACTAGGTACTCGGAAATAGCCTGAATGGTGGCTGATGTCGAATGCAACCATCCACTGAAAGATTTCCGGTAAGTCTTTCTTTCGAGTGTTGCATAGAAGCAGGCTGATTGCGAGTTTAACTCCTCGGCATAACCCGGCACCAACTTATCATCGGAACGAATGAACGAATAATGTAGGGACTGGTTGCCCCACTAAACACTTGACCTTTAGCATAAGAGCAGCGCCACTTATTACTACGTCAACGACAGATTAAAAAGTGAAATATTCAGGAACGAAAACCGGATTTCTGGTACGCCTTTTGTTTTGAAGAGAAACGAATGCCACATGGCCTTGAGAATGCAATATTCTTCAGAAACTAGAAAGCTGTTCTGCCCAGCCTACGTTGAAGAAAAGCAAAAATTCACCAGTGTTCTTGAGAAGGCTTTTCTGAAACAGAAGCTCTACCCACAACAATTTTCCCTCTAGCACCATGGCATTTCTGAAGTGCGGAAAAAAGCAATTTACCTCTATCCATCAGTTGCTGCTTGCTGATTGTGGATGGCTTCGAGGTCAAATCTTTGTCCAGCGAACCACTTGTTGAGTCAATCACTGAAGCTACTGCCGGTTGTTCATTGGCGGTTGCTTGAAATCCCTCCACTGCTTCCGATGGCTTTGTGGTTGCCTTGTTTTTTTCACTGTTTTGACTAGTTGCTACTCTTGCAGATGAAGCTAACACTTGTGGCGCTGACGACGATGATGGTAATGATGATAGTGCTAGTGATGGTGGTGCTGAAATGTACATGTTGAATGATGACTAACAAACTATTATTAAGAAATGCGTATAATTTCTGAATATTTTTCGATCGCATTTAATTAAAATTAATGAATCTTAGTTGATAAGGTGTCTCATCGCGCTTAAGGACTAATAAAGGTCGAACCGATGTGGTAATAATCAAACCACATCAAGAACATTCGAAAAGGTTTAAAACCTTGCTAAATGCTCCCACGGAAGAAGCTGCTGAAAAAGCCTTGTTAACTGTTCCTGGCAAGCCTTTCAAGAGAAAAAACAAATTTCAGTATCGACAGGATTTGTCCGACAGTAAAGTGATACAGCATTGGTCATTGCAATTGGAAAGCTGTCAGCTGCATAAATGGGAAACCAGACTATGAAATACAATTTATCAAAGTAAAAATATCGGTTAATGGTTACTTGGCTAAACAGTAATTAAAGACTACAACTAAAATAGGGTCACTGGTCACTTTGCCGGACATTCTTCCATGAAATGGTATGCGTGTGTAGTGGACATGAAAAGTG